CCTGACCCTCACTCCCTAAATATTTGAACATTTTTAAAAGCCAATTTCCATGAGATAACACAAAAGGAAGCTGCTGCCCCAATCCCTGCACATTAACAATTAAAGGTGAGAGCTCCCACCATTTCTTTAGGCCCATTGTCTCTGGTTTCAAGTAATTTCCAGGTGGCAACACAGATTTATTGGCACAATTGTGGCAGCTTCCATTTTCCACCTAAGAAAATGGAATAGAAAAGGAAATTCCTGCTTAAAACTAAATTTTGTAATAAATACACCACAATCCCAGTGGTTCTGAAAAATAAATTCTGTTGTATACAGAGAACAGTCATCCACAGCAGCTGAAATTCTGTGATTTATCATGACAGAAACCAAGACATTAAATTATAAATTATAGATATTAAATTATATATTGTATTAAACAACTTATTAAAGTAAAAAAGATCTTAAAACCACAGTAAAAAAATAAAAGCATGGCCAACTTGGAAGTGTCAAAAAGTTACCACTAAAAACAACTGCAACATGATTAAAGTGTCCTGGACATAAATTAACTTCAACCAATTTGCTCAAAATCAGTATTAAAGGGGTTTTTTTAAATAATTCACACTATCTAAAACAAATGCTTGGGCTAAAATTTAGAACTTTGAATGGTTAAAGAGAAAAGAAATCTTCCCAAACCCCACAGCCCCGGATTTATCCAAATCATGACAGGATTCAAGCTCAGAACTCAGAAATTATCTATTTCTCCAGGACACACATCCCTAATTTTTACCAAATGTTCATCTCTTCATTCATAGGAATCCAATGAAATTACATCAGTTTCCAAATCCTTCCAAGAGAAAGATTTAGACCAGGTCTGTGGAAGCAGAGGTGTGTGAGAAATATGTTGGAAAATTTAATTATTACCAGCAAAATCTGGTTTTACCACAGACCCCTTACCAGCACAGTACTGCACTGAGTGACTGTGTTTGTATTAAATGTATGGTGCTTTCCCCTCTTAATTAAAAATTATCAAAGCAACTCCCCCAGAAAAAAAATAATAGTTTCTATTAAAAATAATACAAAATACAAAATTCCAACCCCAAATCACCCCATATCCCCAAAATCTGTGGAGTATTGACCAGGAGTTCAGAGTCTGTCCTGACTAAATATCTTAATTTGACACCTGGCAGCCAAAAAATCTGTTTTTAGCACAGACCCCTTACTAGCACAGTATTGCACTGTGTTTGTATTAAATGTCTGCTGGTTTTCCCTCTTAATTAAAAATAATCAAAGCAACTGCCCCAGGAGAAAAATAATAGTTTCTATTAAAAAATAATACTAAATACAAAATAATACAGAATTCCAACCCCAAAACACACCATATCCCCAAAGTCTGTGGAGTATTGATCAGGAATTCAGAGTCTGTCCTGATTAAACATCTTAATTTGAAACCTGGCAGCCAAAAAATCTGCTTTTAGCACAGATCCCTTACCAGCACAGTATTGCACTGATTGTGTTTGTATTAAATATGTGCTGGTTTTCCCTTTTAATTATCAAAACAATTCCCCCAAAATAAAAATAATACAAATTCCGACCCCAAAACACCCCATATCTCCAAAATCTATGAAGTATTGACCAGGAGTTCAGAGTTTGTCCTGACTAAACATCTTAATTTAACACCTGGCAGCCAAAAATCTGCTTTTAGCACAGATCCCTTACCAGCACAGTATTGCACTGAGTGACTGTGTATTAAATGTGTGCTGGTTTTCCCTCTTAATTAAAAATTATCGAAGCAACTTCCACAAAAGAAAAATAATACAAATTCTGACCCCAAACACCCCATATCCCCAAAATCTCTGAAGTATTGACCAGGAATTCAGAGTCTGTCCTGATTAAACATCTTAATTTGAAACCTGGCAGCCAAAAAATCTGCTTTTAGCACAGATCCCTTACCAGCACAGTATTGCACTGACTGTGTTTGTATTAAATGTGTGCTGGTTTTCCCTCTAAATTATCAAAACAATTCCCCCAAAATAAAAATAATACAAATTCCGACCCCAAAACACCCCATATCGCCAAAATCTGTGAAGTATTGACCAGGAATTCAGAGTTTGTGCTGACTAAACATCTTAATTTGACACCTGGCAGCCAAAAACCTCTTTCAGAGTGAGAGCCCAGCAAGGACAGGGAGTTCTCAGCACACCTGACTCCTTCCCACAGCACCAATTCCCACCCACACAAGGTCACAGTGGGATGGCAGTGCTGGTTATGGTTGGACTCAGTGATTTTAAAGGGTTTTTTTTTCCAGCCCAGATGATTTTCTGATCTAACAGTGCTCTAGATTTAGACCAGGTCTGTGGAAGCAGAGGTGTGTGAGAAATATGTTGGAAAATTTAATTATTACCAGCAAAATCTGGTTTTACCACAGACCCCTTACCAGCACAGTACTGCACTGAGTGACTGTGTTTGTATTAAATGCGTGCTGGTTTTCCCTCTTAATTAAAAATTATCAAAGCAACTGCCACAGAAGAAAAATAATAGTTTCTATTAAAAAATCTAGCATCTAGGATCTAGCAGTGACACAGAAGTGCTGCATCATCCACTGCTCCCCACAGTGAGGTGGGAAAGGAGCAGAGGTGGGACATGGCACAGGATTGATCCCAGATGGCTCTGGAATATCTCCAGTGAGGAAAACTCTGCAGCCTCCCTCCCTGGGCAATCTTTTCCAGAAATTCTCCCTCATGTTCAGGTGGAGCTTCAGTTCCTGCCTGTTCCTGCTGTGGCATTGCTGGCTGTGAAAAACGTGTATTTTATGATTGGCTTTTTGCAAATATTAAAATGAATATTATATGTGTTATGTTAGAAAATGATGCTGGATTAATTTGCTTAAGTAGTGTGTTAAATATAGTTTTAGGTTATAACATAATGTTAAAATAGAAACTGTGCTATGTAACATACTTTTTTTAAAGAGAGGAATGAGGTATTCCCACCAAGATAGCAGCCACAGGACACCTGAATCTTTCAGAGAAAGAGAATTTATTGCTCCATTATCAGAAGAAATGAACTTCTTCCTGCCTCGCTCAGCCATGAAGAGCCGTCAGGATTAATAAGAAGAAGTTGACACTGACCAGACAGAATCCTGTGTTTGAATGGAATTTATGCATCACTAATGAGGTGTATGAATATGCAACAGGCTGTTGCTTTTAAGGGTTAATCATCTGTTAACCGGTGTCCTTATTTTGGCCAGAAAGAGGTACCTGGACCATCCATAACTCTTTGTTTTTATTGTCTCATACTGTGCTAACCCTAATTGTCCAATTTTTTTTATTACTCTCATTTTATTACTATTTTTATAACCATTTTATTACTATTAAACTTTTAAAATTCTAGAAACAAGTAATTGGCATTTTTTACAAGAGGAAGAAGTTGATGATGACCAGACAGAATCCTGTGTTTGAATGGAATTTGTGCATCATGTATGAGGTGTATGAATATGCAACAGGCTGTTGCTTTTAAGGGTTAATCCTCTGTTAATGTGGGTCCTTTCTTGGGCTTATTTTGCCCAGAAAGAGGTACCTGGACTGTCCATAACTCTTTGTTTTTATTGTCTCATATTGTCCTAACCCTAACTGTCCAAATTTTTATTACTCTAATTATATTACTATTTTTAGAACAATTTTATTACTATTAAACTTTTAAAATTCTAAAAACAAGTGACTGGCATTGTTTTTCACACTACGTAAGATACTTTTTTTTAAAGAGAGGAATGAGGAACTTGCAATGAGATAGCAGCCACAGGACACCTGAATCTTTCAGAGAAAAAGAATTTATTGCTCCATTATCAGAAGAAACGAACTTCTTCCTGCCTCACTCATTAAGAGGAAGAAGCTGACACTGACCAGCCAGAATCCTGTGTTTGAACGGAATTTATGCATCATGTATGAGGTGTGTGAATATGTAACAGGCTGTTGTTTTTAAGGGTTAATCCTCTGCTAACATGTGTCTTTATTTTGCCCAGAAAGAGGTACCTGGACCATCCATAACTCTTTGTTTTTACCGTCTCATATTGTCCTAATTCAAATTCTCAAAATTATTATTGCTCTAATTGTATTACTGTTTTTACAACCATTTTATTACTATCAAACTTTTAAAATTAAAAAAAAAAAAAAAAGTGATTGGCGTTTTTCACACCAGTGTCTGGCGGTGCTCAGGGTTCTTCTTCCCATGTGCAGGACCTGAACTGCACTGTGCTGAAATTTGGAAGGGTTTTCTCTGCCTGTCAAAGTCTCTGAAAGGGCACAACCCTCTGAGGCATCGGCCATTCCTTGTTTTGTATCATCAGCACTGTATTGAATTTCGGAAGGGTTTTCCCTGCTCTTCTCCCCTGCCTGTCAAAGTCCCTCCGAAAGGGCACAACCCTCTGAGACATCGGCCATTCCTTGTTTTGTATCATCAGCGAACTTGCTGAGGGAGCACCGACCCCATTGTCCAAACAAGCCACAAACACCAAGGACAGAACCCCGGGGGCACCACTCGTGACAGACCCCCCTACACCCTGTGCCTCATTCCCGAGCCTCCGGGACCTGTTCTCCATTCTCCCCTCATTTACAGGAACCTCAGGGCCACCTTCCCAGTCCCAGAGCCCCTGACTGAACCCTGACAGAGAACTCAGACTTCCAACCCGGCACCCCTCACCCTGGGGCCGCCTCAGACCGGGAACCGGGAACCCCCAGCAGCAGCGGCGCCCGCACCCCACAACCTCCGGGCAGCCCGGGGTTAAGACACCGGGACAGCCCCGGAATCCTCCCCAGAACCCTCCAAAATCCCCGCAGCCCCCAACATGGCGGGTCCCCCTGAGGAGCCGCCCGACGCGTGGCGCCCCCTGGTGGCTCCCAAGTAACGCGCCCCCCGCGCGCGCGTGCGGACCCGCTTGAGAGCAGGGCCGCGCCCACCGGAACGGCCCCGCGGGGGGAGGGGGGGGGGAGGGAGGCCCCGGCCAGTCCGCTCGGCGCTGTGCGACCCACCTGCCCTAGCTTGGCCGCGGAGGCGGGTGGTGAAGAAAAGAAGGACGGCGAGCAGCACGGCAACGGCGGCGAGCAGAACCGCGTCCATCCCGCAGCGCCGGCCCCGCCCACATCACCCTTGGTACGCCCCGTCTCCTTCCCCTGCAGCAAGGCCCCCCGCGCGCGGGCTGCCCCGCGGGGTGCCTGTGGCGGCGCGGCGCGGAGGGCGCGCTGCGATGGGGCAGGCGCGGCTCGGACAGCCCGCGGGAGGGGTCCTGGCTGGTCCCTGAGGCGGGCGCTGAGGGAGGGCGCGGAAAAAGGAATTAAAGGCGGGATTAAAGCAGAAGTTAAAGGGGAAATTAAAATTTATGAGGCAAAACCGGCCGTGAGCCGGTGTGGCCGCCCGGCACGGCTGCTATGAGCGGCTGGTGATGCGTCCATCCTCCGCACTGGGTGGGTGGGGCCAGCCTGGGACATCTCAGCCGTGACCCCGCTCCGGGTGCACCCCAGACAGGCCTGAGAGCTGTCAGGGTGACCCAGGCAATGATGAAACTTAAATTACATCTCTGAGTAATTTCTGTTTTCTTCTTTTAGGTCTGTGGAATTTGGGAATGGGATGAAGCTGGAGCTGCCGTGTCAGGAGTGATGTCCTGACCTGGCCTGAACTAAAAGTGCACAAAAATATGCAGAAACTTGCACTGGAGATGGAGAAGAAATTTCCTCCCTTTGCATGGTCACCCACTGTTAGATCTGAAACTTTGTCAGACTCTGCCCCAGTCCTATGAGTGAGGAGAGAAATTTTTTAAGCTTTACCCATTTTCACTTTGCGGTTGTGAAGTTCTGGCTGATCAAGCCCTTTCTTGCTTCAGAAATGCTTTCAGTGTGACTGTTTAAAGCACTTTTCGGGGAAAGTGTTTTAATAAATTGAGAATACAAATTCGAGGCTATGGGACATCTAAAGGTGATCAAAAGCACTGTTTAGCTAATTAATCATTGCTGTGAGCTCCACAGCTGCCTGTGTCCCTGTCACCAGCTCGAGATGAGTTCAGATCTGTCAGCAGATGAAAAGCAGCTTCTGTTGAGGGATCTGCTGAATTTTAGCCATGTAGAACCAACAACACAGTGGGAAGCTCTCAAAAAAGAGCTGAACTACAGACTGAGTGTTTTATGGCAAAGTTTTATTTTAGTAATAGCCTTTCAAAAGTCTTATTTTGGGAATCATTCCTAGAATCCTGGAATGGTTTCGGTTGGAAGGAACCTTAAGGATGATCTTGTTCCATTCCTTGCCATGGGCAGGGATACCTTTCACTATCCCAGGCTGCTCCAAGCCCCATCCAGCCTGACCTTGGACACTTCCAGGGATCCAGAAGCAGTCACTGCTTCTCTGGGCACCCTGTGCCAGGGCTCCTCACCCTCCCAGGAGAAAATTCCTGCCCAATATCCCATCCATCCCTGCCCTCTGGCAGTGGGAAGCCATTCCCTGTGTCCTGTCCCTCCATCCCTTATCCCCAGTACCTCTCCAGCTCTTCTGGAGCTCATTCAGGCCCTGCAAGGGGCTCTGAGATCCTTCCTGGATCCTTCCCCTCTCCAGGTGAGCACCCCCAAGCTCTCTCCAGCCCTTGGAGCAGCTCCATGGCCTCCTCTGGGCTCTCTCCAGCAGCTGCAGCTCCTCCTGCTGTTGGCCCCAGGGCTGGAGCAGCTCTGCTGGAGGGGTCTCACCTGCAGAATCCCCCCGCCCTGCTGGGGATGAGCACACAGAGGGCTCTGGCTGGGCCATGTGGAGCTTCTCCCTCACCCCAGCTCCCCCTCAGGTTCAGCTTCTCCCTCACCCCAGCTCCCCTCAGGTTCAGCTCCTCACCCACCCCCCATCTCCCCCTCAGGTTCAGCCTCTCACCCACCCCAAAACCCCTCAGGGTCAGCTCCTCACCCACCCCAACTCCCCTCAGGCTCAGCTTGTCCCTCACCCCAGCTCCCCCTCAGGTTCAGCCTCTCACCCACCCCAGCTCCCCCTCAGGTTCAGCTTCTCCCTCACCCCAACACCCCTCAGGCTCAGCTTTGGCCAAAGCACCCGTGGGCAAGCTGGAGGTTCCCAAAACCCCTTTGTTGTTTGTCACCCAGCCCTGCAGGCAGCCAGCACACACTCGTGTCAGTGCTGAGGGGTTTATCGTGTCGGTGCTGAGTTGTTCATTTCCCTGCATGGTCCCTACTGCCTTTAATAAGGAGGTGGTGGTAATGGTGGGATGTCACCTGCTCCTCCTCTCCGGGCTGCAGAGGGAGCAGAGGAGTTTTTCCTGTAGGTGTCACCAATATCCCGCGAAGAAACTGAGCTTAAACTGCCGGAGAAGGAGCGAGCGTGGGATGCTCGGGTCGGTTTGATACAACACCAGAGTCTTCTGAAATATTTGAGATCCCTCGGGTTGCGTTTCACAGAAGCCCTTCTGGATTTTCCTAATTTAAGTCTGGAAAAATCCCTCTGGTTTCCTCAATAACCGTGTAAATTCCAGAGGATTTTGAGGCTGGCTTTCTACCAGGACACTGGGAGAATGTGTGAAGGCTGTGATGAGCGGTGGGTGGTGATTGAATTTGGTGGCTGCTGCTGGAGCGTGACTGGTTCCACTCAGTCATGCAAACACTGCAAGAATATCACGGAATCATGGAATGATTTGGGTTGGGAGGGACCTTAGATACCATCTCATTCCATGAGCAGGGACACCTTCAATATCCCAGGGTGCTCCAAACCTCTCCCAATACTTCCAGGGATCCAGGGGCAGTCACAGCTTCTCTGGGCACCTGTGCCAGGGCTCACCACCCTCACATGGAACAATTCCCTCCTTAGTATTTATTCTAAATCTGCCTTCTCTTAGCTTAAAAATGTTTCTGCTTGTCCCAGCAGTTGTAAATCCTTAATCACAATAATACAGTATTTGCAGACCTAGGGAATTTTCTCACCCAGCACTGCCTGATCCCAGTACAGGCTTTTAAGGGAAAATTGGTCTTTTTTCAATTTATTGTGACAAAAGGTAAAATAGCACATTCCCCCTCAAACACCTCATTGTATAAGGAATTACATCGAATCACAGAATCATTAAGGTTAGAAAAGCCCTTTTGCATCATCAGGCCCAACTATTCTCTTACTGCCAAAACCACCACTAAACCACCCCGAAGTTCCACCTCTACACCTAAAATCCCTTGAAATGTAAATCCTTGTGGGGCTGGAGGCACATCCACGTGTGTCACTTTTTGGGGCAGACTGGAGAGCTCACCCAGCTGGCAGAGCAGCCCCGAGGCTTCCATCCAGAGATGCACCAGGTACCGGTGCCCGGTAATGAGGCTCTAATTCCCTGCGAATAAACCAAAGTGCATCCAGGAACTCGCTGTATCCCGGGGCCAACTGGCACAAAACGCCCTCTTCCACACTTGTCAGCTTGCCTCGCCTTCCAGGAGAGGGTGGCTGGATGCACACTGCCTGCTGGGAGCTGTTCCTGGACTGCTTTGAGCCGGGAATCATCTCAGAAAGTTTGTGCAGAAGGACTTTCTAAACATTTTCTCCCATGGATGTAAGTAAGAGCCGAAATAAGGGATGCAGGACTCCAGGTAGCTCTGCAAAATGCAGTTTATTGTATCCAAGGTGTTACAGCAGTCCAGGGTCGTGGATGAGAGGAATAGCAGATTTGTCTTTACAAATGGTCTGCTGGTAGATAAAACCAGCACTGGGAGATAAAAGAAACAATGGGAAGGATTCCACTGATTGATGAATGGAAAAAGATATTTGCTTTTACAAATAAACTTCGGGTTTGCTGATAAATGAAATTAGACATTTAAAGATGAAATAAACAATGAGGAAGAAAAACCCCAAAATTCCATAAAAATTAAAAGGAAGGGTTATACATTAGAGGGAAAATCTCTGGTATCAGGTGTATCAGGAAGTCTGAACCTCTCAAGTACCTCAGCCAATGGGGAAAGAGAGAAGGGAAATGCAGCCAGGAAATTGGGATAAAAAGGAGGCTACGTCCCCCAAAAATTTGAGAGACCCCAGGGCAATGCCCCATGGCCTTTCCATTTATTCAAATAAAGTTACAGGACTCCTCTGTCTCCTTTTTGGACATAAACCTCTGATGTTTGTGGATTATTTTCCTAACAGGGGTGACAGAGCTGTGCCTACAGCTGTCAGCTCCAGCTGCAGGCAGGCCTGGAGACCCTGAGTTTAGGTTATAAATGCATTCTATACTTTTCTTTTGCTTGCAATGCATTCTATACTTTGCTGAGCATCTTCATACAGTAGAACCAATCTATCCCTTAACTTTTATCTCTAGCCTATCATAACTACTGTAATTACCATATTCATGTTACTGTTCTCCAGTCACTAAAAGTCAGTACATTACAGTTTAAGCTCAAAGATGTTTTTCAGTTTCCTTGCAGTGTAAAATTCTGAAACCTTTTTTCTACTTGCAACATTTGCTGACTTGTTTGCCTGTGCTCTCTTTCTGCTTGGTAAAAACATCTTCTTGTTTGGGGTGGGTTTATCTTTTGCTCTAAGCCATAAAAACCCTTCTAACTAACACAGCCTTTGCCTTCTTGGTTACCCAGTAAGACTGACTCAGCAATTCTTTTCTTCTATATCAAAACTTGCTCACAGCTCTATTCCTTCATCAGATTCTACATTCAAAAACCTTCCTGCTAAGCACACATATCTGTGAGACTTTCTTGTCAAACTTTCATCCTTCCCAACAGATATACCTTTCAGTGCCTGGGCACACCGTATTTCCCAGCAGGGATGCAACCTTTGTGCAGCAGGATTTATTTACAGGGAGAAATGCTGCAAGGGCTGCCTTCCAGCTCCCACCCACTTGGAGATGGACCTCGGGTGTTCTTCCAAATGCTCTGGAAATGTGCTGATGAAGGGAGAGGTTCTGCATCCTCCTTTGTGCCAGTGGGACACAGCACCTTCCAGGGAGTGCTCTGGATTGCAGGATCACACTCTGGGAAGGATCTGGATCAGAGTGCCAGAGAGCTGCAGATTATTTTATAATTGCAGGGCAGTGAGCTGGTGATCCTAAATGTGGGATGAGCAGGGCCCCCCAGCACCATCCTGGAGCTCAGCACCTCCCCAAAGCCCCTGAAGAAGCATCCAAGACC